AAGGTTTGATTTTCCCATCTGGTCCAATCTCTTGACAAACGACATGTGACTTGGTCATTGTTTTGGACACAGGATCAACATTCCTCTCTAAATAAGGAAATTCTTCTTTGTAAGCTGAAGGGTTGATCATCATCATGCATGGAATAGGAGAAACTACAGGAACAGACTGAGGTGGCATGGCAAAGGTTCTGCACCTTTCTTGTTTGGAGAAGGAGAGGTCTTCCTCTTCAAGGATCTCAGTGTATCACTGATATTTCCACAAGGGATTTGTCTTTTCTTGGCGGTGAATTCCTATCCACGGGCCTTCTTCAGGTTCAAATCTCCTAGGAGAAGTGAATGAAGGTTTGCAGGATCCTCCTTTAAAGTCATCATCATCATCCGAGTCGTCATCATCCTCGTCACTAGTGTCTTCATTGTGGTCGTAACAGTCATGGTCAAAATCGCACATGTCTGGGCCAGCATCCCAGATGAAGTGTCCCCCTATCTTGTTAGTGAAGATAGGTTTTCCATCAGAGCACATGCTGACAATAGGGATTTTGCCTTCCTTGGTGAAGGGTGTTATCATCATCGACTAGAATATGGAGGTGCTCGAACTTGGAACATCCTTTAGATTCTTGAAGATGGTTCTGACGGTGCATCTACAGATCTTATAAACGTTGCTTCTGTGAACTGGATGGGTTTCTGCTTGTTATGGAGTTTTTCATAGTTAGTCACCCACTGCATCAGAATAAGCTTATGAAGCTCTTGTGAAGAGATATTTATAGGGATTTGAACTATAGAGGGTGTCTCATCTTGGTTATTGGTCAAGACGAATAATGCTCTGTCTTTACAGGATGGTAACCTAAGATTTATCGCATGATCTTGCAACCTATAGATAATTTGATAATGGAGAGTAGCTGATAGTGCTTCAGCCACTTGTTCAGCTCCGGTGATTTGGATTTGAACCTTTAATCTCTGGGAGATGGTGGGATCCTTCAAGGTAACCTTGAAGTTGGGAAAGATGGTAAGAACTACACTTCCAGCATGAAGAGTAGTTAGAACAATGTCGATAACGGCATGCTCATAATGGAGGTAGCTGGAGTCTAAGAGAGATACTCTTGCTAAGACAGGTAATGCCCGTCTTCCATGGAGGCAAAGGACTAATCGGATTGTCCCGTAATGGAGATGGGTATAACCCTCAGTTTATCAATGCTTGATGAGATCTTTGGGGATCTCAATATTAACATATTGTTCTTCTGTGGTGGATGCTAAGGCACATTGGTCCATCCTGGAGGACTGGACGTACTGCTTGACATGAGGTCTTCTGGTAGAAAGAAGACGAGTAATAAATCTAAGGGTGGATATTTGTCTCCTAAAGATATTATAAGGACTAAGGAGATTATTGTACGTTTCACAAATCTGAGCATCTTTCGGAACATAGAAATACTCTATAAGGTTTTCTATCTTAGAAGAAAGAGTTTTTGAGATGTTTTTGGGAAGAGAAAGACTTGAGTTTAATAAAACGGGACCAGACTTTGATTGTGGTGTTTGATTATCCATATTTAAAGGTTTCTCTTACTCACTTTCCACTTATAATTCCTACTATTATACCCCCTTCTAAAAAATGGTTAGGCTCTAATACCATTTCGGATAGAGACCCCTTCTTATCCAGACAATATGAACCTCCTCGAGCATAACAACGTCATTCTTCAAATAAAAACCCAAATTCATATTTTCTATTATGTTATAATAATAATAATAATAATGGTAATATTTAAAAAAAATAAACATTTCTTTTATATATATGTTTTAATATTAATATAATAAATTAAATATATATATATATATATATATATTTAAGTAATAATAATTAAAAAATATTTATTTATGTATAAAAATACATAAAAAATATTAAAATTAATTTATTATAAATAGAAATATTTTTTTATAAATAACATAGAATGGGATTGGATTAACTATTAAGACTTAATTTATAATCTGATCTGACAAAGGCGAAAATAATTTTAAAAGTAGAAGGAGAGCCACGAAGACAAAAGTCGAAGTGGCATACCCAATTTATAACGTAATTGGTTTGGAAATATTATTGAGTGGTATTTAGAGTATATAAACTTCCTTATAAAATTATATAGTAAATTGTTGAGCTTTATTAGTGGGAAAGTAATTTTCGATGTTATGTTTATTAAGAAAAGCTTGAATTCCCTTTAAAATTAATAATTAGTTTAACATATATAATATGTTGTCAATTATCTTTTTATCCTATAACTTTTAATTGTATTAAATGTTACATAAGAATAAAGTTAATTTTTTATTAAAAAAAAATTAACCTTAACCTCAATTAATCCTAAAATAAAATTCTTTTAGGATAAATAAGTATATTAAATATATATAAAAAAAAAATCATCTCCCATTGATAATTGGTTCTTATTTAAATTTACAAAATCCTTTAGTTTAACCTAGACCTAGTGGTGAATCTTTATTTATATACTCTAGTATATAAGTTCATATATTGCATCCCATTGCACAACAATTATAAACTGATTAGACTTAATCAAACACATAAAATTGAATATGAAGCAAATTAACATATATAGAAGTTAGACATCACACCTAATTGAATATGAAGCAAATTAACATACATAGAGGTTGGTTCACAACTAATTTATGGGTAGATATATATTTCCATTACTGAGAATGGATCATTTGATTAAATCAATCAACCTGGATTAGAACAGACAGTCTCCTTCATAGTAATCAAAGGATCTCTTGAAGCAAACAGTTAAACATAACAATAAAAAAGAAAATTAACTCCTACATCTACTCATAAAACCATACTAAGAAATAAAAAAATATACAAAGCATAATCAGAATAGATGGTATAACAATAGATGAGCATAAACTGAACACTTATTGGTTACTAAATACATTCAATTTATATTTTGGAAGTAAAATAGGTAAGAGAAAAAAAATAAAAAGCAAAATATTTTATTTTTCTGCACACAATTCTAAAGAATAAGAAGGATAAAATGGGAAGACCATGTAGTGTTTTAACATAATAAAGGTTGTGTATATACGTTTTCCAATGGACCAAAAAAACAGAAAACTGTTTGAACAAAAATAGATGTATAAATGGATTATTCCCTCTAACGTCATTTATTTCAGAAGTTTCTATAATAAGTTTAACCCATACTTCTGGAAATAAGACAAGGTATGGACATAGAAGTCACTATATGAAATACAATTGCTAGCAACACTCCTTTTAACATTCTTGATGGCCAACTTACTAAAAATTATAATATCATAAATCAGACTTATTAAATAAGGAACAAGACACAATTCTGTAATTTTCAACAAGTTTAGCTCAAGAACAAAATATGCTAGAAAAAAATGTATTTAAGTGTGTTGCTAATCGTAATAATAAACTTTATCTGTGAAAAGGAAAAACCTAGGCATCCTCTTCTATTAAACTCAAAGAGATAGATACACAAAGAGTGACAACAGAGACCAATACAATATGGTCCTTCAGTTGTCAGCTGTTGGATTCCACTAGACTAGATATAAACAAAACAGGACCATAAAACAAAACTGGAGGTGGATTCGACCTTTATCATTAAAGTTAATATCAATATATACACGAAAACATATACAATTCTCCAGCTTTGAATGATTACAGTGATCAAATGGTTAGCTCTCTACATCATTCACAATATTTGTATACTACACCGCTATGCTAAAAATTGAAAGGGAGAAAACAACAAAAAAGAAGTGGGAAAAAAAAAGATACAACAGCTAGCCAAAAGGTGGGAAAAAAAATTATACAACAGCCAGCCAATAAAAAACGGCACATTATCAGCATCCCTGCTAAATCCTAGAGTACACATTTCAAACAATAAGTTCCAAATAATCTGCCACATTTCAGACTTCAGCAAGTTAAACCCATTACATCAACATCGATGGTTTAAGTAATCATGTGCTAATAACTGAAACAAATTCAAATCAAAAGCCTAATACTTCACAGCAAAAGTTTCCCTTCTCAATGTCCAACAAGGTCATGACTTGAATCTCCATCATTGAAGACGCTTGATACCCCCACCAGAGCCCAAATTTGAATGAGCAGTTTGCTTTCCCAAAACAGTTGTCCTACACACCACAAGCCCCGAACATTGATAATAGTTCCCAATTCAGAAGGCATTAACAGAAAGAAGATAAAGCAGGTATAATTCATATAAAATTTAAAAAAAAAACTTACTGAATTCCGTTCAACAAGCACACAGAGACTTAGTTCAACCATAGAAACACATACAACTTCTAAATTTAAAAAATATTGTTGGAATGTCTGAATACAAGGAAACGATGCATGATTGATTAGGACAATTGTGTTAACTTATTTTTGGGGATCTTTTCTTCTTAGGGGCTCCACATGTTATCCAAACTTCAGTAAATAATTTGTTCCCGTAATATGATTAAGGTTAGCAGGTTAAGAATATAATACTTAACCTAATTTCAACTTATAGTGGAGGTTAGTGCATAGTCTTATGCATGACCAAATTGAATAGAATAGTAACATACTCTACTTTTCCTCCTTCTCTGCCTAAACCCTTTACTTTAAACATGTATCAGAGCAAATACCATCTTCCATTACCTAAATACATTATTTTTTCCGCTAGCAAATTTGAAGAAAGAGAATTAATTTCAACTCCCAAGCTTGGTGTACAGACAGTTCTTCACAACCAGCAATAACAAAACCTTTTCTTGGAAGGTTGGATCAACTACATGGATTAAACAAAGTCCTTGTGTTATGTCAGTAACCAGTTCCTCAAAGAGCCAACTTATATCTTATCCGTTTTTAATAATTTTACTGTTATCTGTCCTAACTCAATTGTGTTTCATTTTCCCATTGGGCCATGCACAAACTCCAGGCAAATGAATCCCTATATTTTCCTTCCATCCATGCTACTTTATCTATCTTTCAACAAATTAACCTATCAAATTAACCCATAAAGAGTGGATTTCATCTCCAACCAAACTTACCATCATCCTTGCCATTCCCAACTCGCACACAACTAGAAGGTCAATATTGCCAGAGCTATAAATTCAACAAGCAATGTTCTAGCATTAGAATAGCTACCAAATTCTTCTCAGAAGAGAATCGTTGTAGCTAGTTTTTAGGCATCAAATGTTGGCTAACATAACTTATTATTAACTATTCTTTCATAGCTTGAGATATTTGTTCACTATTTGCATAGGGTTAAAAGTCAAATACTTGACCGAATGTTTTGTCTTCCATATAACCTAGTTCCTGATAAAAAGATATAGCTGAAATTCTCCTTTATCTTGTCTTTCCTTCCTAAAACCCATAGTTTCCGCAACACATCATTCAAGAATGGCCATAATTTCTTAACACATACCCATTCTAAAGATCCCATTATAGGTTCGGCTAGGTATTTGTAAGGGAACAAGTTGTGAAATCTATATCTCAAACAAATACCCTCCACAAAAGTGTCCACAAATATAGTTCATGTAGGAAGTTAAGCAGTGTTCTTAATAGATATAAATTATTTAGGGAAAAACTAGATTCAGCAAATCCACAAAGTCATGCAATTACAGATTATTTGAAGCTTCCATGTCTGAATATTACATGGACATCCTAAAATCATAAAATCTAGATTCAGCAAATCCAGAAAGTCATGCAATTACAAATTATTTGAAGCTTCAGTGTTTATATATTATATCATCATCCCAAAATCATAATTTCTTCCCCTAAATATTGTAGCCATTATTTATCGAAGCACATATAAATACATCCACTCCTGACTACAGAACTTTGGCATAACCACATATTCAGGTACTGATATAACATTTATTAAAAATCTAATCTTTATACAGTTTACCAACGAAAGGGAAGGAGGGAAGGGGGATAACAACTGTACCAAACTTCCCATGAAATTAGTTACTAGTATACACATAGAAACTACAAAACCAGAAAGGAATATATACATGGCTGACCCAGAACATAAACCCCTTAAGTTTGCATAATTAGACAAACATAAAATGAATAATTATAATGTATAATAGTAAACTGCATAGCAGACAATATATATATATATATATATATATATATATATATATATATATATATATATATATATATATATATATATTTCATCCACTGCCCATATTCAAACATCCACCTGGTTGCAGAGTGGTACAATAGTGATCCAAATGCATTTGGTATCAATTTTAAGCAGGGAATACACCGTGAATAAAGAAATGCACATGTGAACAACAAGGAAACGTTAACAATGGAAGAAAGGAAATTTTAAATTCAAATATAATACTTTTTTTTTATAGATATATGCATTTGATTAGACAAGGCAAAAGTACAAAAATGGAAAAATAAAAAATGTGGCTAAGGTGCTCTCCGAAAGGAAACCATAAAGCAGAAAGAAAACAAAAACCCTCAAATAGAAAACCACAAAAACAAATATGTCCAGATGGGTTGGGGTGACGAAAGAAACGCACCCCAATATTCTCAACAGAAAACCCACAAAGCCAAAAACTGATACCAAAAATCTTATCTAAAATTTTAGACTAATAGTTTATAATTGAACTAAGTTACCTTTCACTCAATTGTTGGCTACAGCTTTGAAAAAATTAGGCATACCAAAAAAAGCATCTCAAAATGAAAAATTCAAGAAAACAGAATTTGTAACTACTCATATTCATGCAGTTAGCCATATCACAAATCAAGATCCAACAACTAACCATGCTAGGAATTGATGGAAGGCTAAGAATTGAATTCTTAAACTAACCTTTCTCAAAGAAGAAAGAAACCATGCTCCTAATAAGGAGCAACTATAAGTGATGGAATTAAAACAGCTATTCAACAACTTCCAGGCCCAGAGAATTCAAGCAAATGACATATCCTGACTTTTCATTTACTGTTTTCATTCTTCAATGGAAAGCATCCAAGGAAAAAACTAGCACCATATGCAAAGTTATTCAGAAGTAAGCCTTCGCCTCTTTCCATAATCAGCATCTCTAGTCCTAGAATGGTGTTCCTCCTCTTGGGATAAGCGTGATTTGCTGTGAGTCCTAGATGATCGTCCCCTCTCCCACTCATCATCATGCTCTGCTTCCCGGTCTCTGTACCTATGATGATCTGCATACCGATCTCTATCTTCTCGGTGCCTGTCCCGCTCTCGATGATCCCTTTCGCGGTCACGAGATCGTTCCCGATCACGTTCCTGGTCACGAGATCTTTCTCGACCTGTGTCTCGGTCATCCCTATGCCTTCTTTCAGACCACTCAGGATCATGGCCCATATCTTTCTCTCTAGGTGCATCTCTCTCATATCCTTGATCTCTATCATCCCTATACCTTTTCTCAGAAGAACCAGACCAGTCCCTTTCTGAACCTCTATCTTTCTCCCTCATAGGCCACCCAGCTCTATCATGACTCACTTCACCATACTGATGGTCAGATGCAGCTTCCTCCCCATAACTTGACTCTCCAGCCTTCCCTCCACCAGGCTCTTCACCACCCCATCCACCCATATTTGGATCTGACCACATTCCCATATTAGGACCATCCATGCCCGATGTTGGCATCATCCCCATACCATTAACTGGCATCCCTCTTCCGAAAAAAGCAGGATTAACATGAGGTGCCACTCCAGGCAAACCAACACCAGGGAATGAAGGTAGTATCCCAGAAAATGGAGGTGTTGGAGCACCAGGAAAACCTCCATAACTACCCATTCTACCCATAGGACCACCAAAAGCAGGATCAAAACCCTGATTCATCATTGACTGAGGATGCAACAGTGGAGGGGTACCACCAATACCTTGTCCAAACCCATTTCCACCATGACCCATTATACCTCTACCACCCATCCCACCACCACCCCTATTCCTCATTGCATTCACAGGCCCCCTATTCCCCATACCAGGATTATTCCCTCTTCCCCAGTTACCTCCTCTCCCATATCCTCTATTACCATCTCCTCCTTGGTAATTACCACCTGTCGATATATTACTCCCACCAGGCTTAGAGCCTCCATCAGCAGGCCCCCTCCTTCCCTGTTGTGTAACTGCAGGTTGGTTCATCTGCTGATTCCTGTTTATCTGAGCCTCTCCCATTTTCTTAACTGTAAAAGGTGACGCAAATGCAACAACACATGGCCTACCGTTAAAAACATGACCATTCATTCCCTCCTTGCATGTTGTGGCAGCAGAAGTGTCAAAAAACTCAACTTGACAATACCCCTTTGACTTCCCACTCGCCTTCTCATCGAAAAACTTAACTTCCTTAACAGGCCCATATTTACTTAGCTCAGTTTCCAGCTCAGCATCAGTAGTCCACCAATGCAAATCACCCACAAACAATATAGTACCACCAGAACCACCACCACCACCACCTCCAATTCCTCCAGTACTAACACTATTAACAGCCACACTGTTCCCAACACCATTTCCACCAACCCTATTAGCATTCCCTCCTCCGCCTCCTCCGCCTCCTACAACACTGCCTCCAACTTGACCTTGTCTCACCATGCCCTCATTTCCCACACTCCCAACAACTACAGCATGAGGTTGTTGTCCAATACCCGGCACTGCAGCATCATCATTAGCCCCATGCTCCTCAATTTCACTCGATTTACCAGATTGATGGCCTAATTCAACCCTAATCCCACTTTTGGCACCCAGCTCATTCCCTCTAAACCCTTCATTCTGAAATCCGTCAACTCTCCCCGAAACCCTAGATTCCACAACTCCGCTTCCACCACCACCGACACCCTCTACCCCGCCACCGACACCAGGAATCGAAACTCCGGTGGTATCCGAAACCGGCACCGGCGGCTTTTTGTCTTCGACGTGGTCATTTCTTATCCCCGAATCGTCGGTTTTGCGCAAAGATTGAAGGAACCCTTCGCCGACGTTGACATCGTTGTAAAGATCTTCATAATCGTCATCTTCCTCTGCCATGAAACCATCGTCGGCGACAGCGGATATAGCTTCGTTACGGTGGAACTGATCCATGGGATCGCCGCTCTCACCGTACCCTCCCTCGCCTTCGTCCATTGTTGGGGTTTTTCCCCCTTAACCAAAAATTAAACAAAAAGAAAATATTTTTATTTCAAGGTTTTCATGGTCGAGTGAGATCCAGAACGAAGAAACGCATGGGATCAAAACGTAACGCAGAGAAAGGAAAATAGAGTGAGAGATCTTACCAGGGCATGTGTTTGTGTGCAGAAGAAGAGAACAGAAGAGAGAGAAGAGCCAACACAAACCCTAATATGGGAACTCAACTAATCTAATCCTTTTGTTATGTTTTCGATTGCTATGTGTGAGTGAGTGCACTTTTACCTAATTTTCTAAATTTTCTGTCTGCTCACATTAAAGTGCTTTTATTATTTGAAAGGAAAAAAAAATTAATGATGTAGTACTTACTGTTATTAATGCAATATTTATATAATAAATAAAAAATTTATATAATTTTTTTTAGTTACACATATAAAGTAACAGATGATTAAAAAAGAAAATAAAACCTATTCTTTTTAATTATTTTTCCCTTCTATTTTTATATTTATAATTTTTTTAGTTACACGAAGTAACAGATAATTAAAAAATGAAAATTAACTAAATAAATTAATAAAATAAAAAGTATTATTATTTTTTACTTTCAAATACAAAATTAAAATAATAAAAATAAAACTTATATTTTTATTTTAAATTATTTTTCTATTTTTATTTTATATTTAAATTTTTTATTGTTTTCGTATGAATAAAAATAAATATTTTTATTTTTCGCTTTCTAATAGTTAACAATAATATGATTTTAATATATTTTAATAAAATAACATGATTTTATTCTTATATAATATATTTATGGGATTTTTTCATTAAAGTGTTAATAAATTTTTTATTTTGTTTTTCTTATATGAATAAATATTTTATATATTTTTTTATTATTATGACATTTTTTCATTGAAACGTAGACTTCATAAAATCTCCACTTATAAATTTTGTAATGATTTTTAAGAGTTTTTATTGGTTTGAATAAAGAAATGACAAATATTTTGAAAAGAAAACAAAATTATTAAACAAATAAGTTAAAAATTTATAACTTTTGTAAGAAGATAAATTACAATATAATATGGTTAAATAAATAAGATATAAATATAGACAATGTTTGATTAAATGTAAAAAAAAATAAGAAAAAAATAAAAAATTATTGCTAAAAGTTTAAATTTTATATTTTCATACATAATCAATTATATGTGTACCAGATAACCTATCATCGTTAACTATGTGCTTCACCTATAAAATTTTCATACATATAAAAACATGATATTATTAAAAAAAAATCTTTGAAATAAATATATGTTGAGGAACTGGAATTATATTTTTATAAATAATTGTAAAATTAGTGTATTAGCAAATAACCGTAACAATTTTTTCGTTATATTAATAGTTATTGTTAATTATAAATAATTACAATTATGAGTTTTGATCAATTATAATTGTAAAAATATATGTATAATATTAAATAATTAATTAAAAATAGGAATAATCTTTAAAAAAATACTTATTTAGGAAATATTCATAAATATTTAGAATTAGAAAATTAACTTATTAAATTATAAATAAATAATTAATAAAATTACGTAAGTATTGTTTATGTAACTAAGTTTAACAATTATTTAAATTATAAATAATTGTAAAAACCAAATAATCCTAACGATTCATTTCATATATAATTAAGGATAAGAGTTAAATCATTAAATTTTAAATAAATAAATACTTAAATATTCGTAAAAATATTATAAGAAAAAATTTAGCAAATTATTGTAAATTTTATTTTTACAAAAATTATGAAAATTATTTTAAATGAATTTTTATAACGTCAAAAAATCATTTATTACAATAAATAACTTTATTGATTTAGTTAGGATCTTTTATAATTTTTGTTAGTATTTACTTAATTAAATTAGTGTTAATATAAGACTTTAATCTAATGATATTTTTATTATAACCAGTGTACGAATAACTAATTGAAGTCAAATATTTATGTGTTGTTCACTAATGAAAATGAACTTTTTATGTATATTATTTTAGTTTTTTTATTTCTGACGTTAATATATGAGAATAAAGTTATATTGGTTATTATGACCAACATAAATTTACATATAGGATTGACGTCTATTTACGTTGGACAAAACATGAAACAGATGTGAAAGAGTTTCGAAAATTAAAAAAATGGGACGAAAATTACATCAAACTATGTCACAACAGGCGTAAATTTACGTCGGACGTGGCTAAGTCTGACATAAATTTACATCGGCCCAGGTTAGGTCCAACATAAATTTACGTATGTGAGTTTGTTAGACAATCCAAATGTTTAAGTTTCTTGAGATAATAATTCAAAAATATAATAATATAATATAATACAAACTATAAAAGTTAAACTAGTACACTAAGCTAGTACAAACACAAATGAGTAATAGCAACTCTAACCAAGTGGCGGATTTTGACCATTGATCTTGTAGGGCCAAATAATATATTATTAATAAATAATAAATAAATATAAAAGGAAGAAAGAAGATAAAAGGGTGGAAGGATAAAATTGTAGATATATACTTAAATATATTAAATGATCATTAAGTTTGAAGGGGACAAAATCATAAATTATATAAGAGTTACAAAGCCGAAAAGGAGTTGAGAGGATAAAATTGTAAATATACAAGTAAATATATTAAATGTTCATTAAGTTTGACGGGGCCAAAATCATAAATTACATGGGAGTTACAAAACTTTGGGGAGGTCACAACCCCCTCAACTCCCAAGAAGATCCCCCACTAACTCTAACCGAAGTTGGTAAGATCATTCGAATAGTCATTGGTAAAAGTTGTTGCATCAACACATGACAATCATAAGACTTTAAACCAACTAACTTCAACTCTTGCATAAACGCAAGACTCTTAACATTTGAGAAGTATCCTTGTGGCACTCTCACCTCACATAAACACTTACAAAAGCTTTTATTTTCTTTCTTTAATAAATTATGACAAGATGGAGGTAAGTAAGTGCGTTTTTCAACTGAATATGGATGTAAATCGGAACATATACCCATATCCATCAAATCTTATGGTGTTTTTATTCCATTTTTTGTCTTTCTTTTTATGTTAAGCAATGTTCTAATTATATTATCACAAACATTCTTTTCAACATGTATCATATCTATATGTCTAACTTCCAGCTTAAACCAATAAGGAAGATTGAAGAATATAGACAATTTCTTCCAAATGTTTTTCTCATTGGATTTCTTTTGTATCTTTCCAAACACAATATTAATATTTTTCATTTGCTCATATACTTGTTCACCATTGTGTGGTACCAATGCAACTTCATTCTCTTGACATCCATTAAATGTTTTCTTCATTTCATGATATGGATGATTAGCAACTAAAAACTTTCGATGCCTAGTGTACGCAGTCTTTTGTCCATGTTTCAATTAGATATAACTTGTGTCTTCTTGACATAAAGGGCACGCATAATGACCCTTCACACTATAACCACTCAAATTACCATATGCTGAAAAATCATTTATTGTGCAAAATAACATTACACGCAACCTAAAATTGACTTCGCGATATGAATCAAATACCTCCACCCCTGTTTCCCACAACATCTTCAAATTATCAATCAAAGGACTAAAATATACATCTATGTCATTTCCTAGTTGTCGATGTTCTGAAATCATCATAGACAACATAATATATTTTTTCTTCATGCATAATAAAGGATGCAAATTGTAAATGATCAACAAAATTGGTTATGAACTATGTTTACTACTTAAATTCCCATAAGGATTCATTCTATCTGTAGCTAATCCAATTCTCAAGTTTCTTGACTCTGCACCAAATTCTGGCAATGTTTCATCAATCCTCTTCCATTATGGAGAATCAGTTAGATGTCGAAGAATATTGTCACATTTTCTACCATTTGCATGTCATGTCAAGTTTCTTGCGTCTTCTTTTATGGCAAATAATCTTTTAAACTTAGGTATTATTGGCAAATACCATAGCACCTTAACAAGGGAGCCATCTATTTCTTCCTCACCATTACTTCCATCAACTTTGTTTTCAAACTGCGACAAATCACATGTCGGACACATCTTTAATGTAGCAAAATCATTTTTGTACAATATGCAATCATTAGGACATGCATGTATCTTCTTGTACTCTAAACTCATTAGACATAATATATTATTTGCCTCATAGTTACGAATAGGTATTGTGTTATCTTCGGGAAGCATCTCCTTCAACAACTCCAATAATTCAGTGAAACTTTTATCAGTTCATCCATTTCTTGCTTTTAAACTGAAAATCTTAAAGTTTTTAATAATCTTGTAAAAATACATATTGTATATAATTATTGCTCAAAATCAAATTTCAAATAACCATATAGATGTGTTTTCATAAAATTTTCTTCACCAATATCACATATCATATCTTATAGATTATCATTCATCCCTTCTTTTTTGTTGTTGACATAGTTGGGTCCTTAACAATATAGCTAATTTATTATCACAATATAACTTAAGTGGTCTTTCAATGCTTTTCACAATTTGCAACCCTGTGATAAAATTTCTCAGTCATATTCCATGATTTGATGCCTCATAGCATGTTACAAATTCTTGACATCCTACAAAATCTGAGTCAGAAAACCCAGCGATCTCCAACTGGTCTGACCTCCTATATGTGAGCATATAATCTTTTGTTCTCTTTAAATATCTTATGACTCTTTTTGCTGCTTTTCAATGGTTTATTCCTGGATGGCTTAAATATCTGCCTAGAACCCCAACTATATATGTTATGTCTGGATGCGTACATACTTGGGCATAGATCAAACTCCCTACAACTGATGCATAGGGAATCTTTTGCATTTCCTCAATTTCCAAATTTCCCTTTGGGCACTGATTGAGACTAAACTTGTCTCCCTTTAAACTTGTGATACACACAATCATCAACAATATTCATCTTGAAGTCAAATGAGTTTCATACCTTTTAGTAATGGGA